CCTGAGCACAAGTATGCCTACACCTATATCAGGTGTTAAAGACACAAGCCATAGGTCGTCGGCACCCTATAGCTTTTGACTCTAATACCTATTTTGCTCGACTTTTTGCTTTTGTTCCACCCTTCAGGTGTACACTCGACTTTCAGTGCGAAAACTGCATCTACAACATTAAAAATATTTTACTCCAAGGCCGTAGCCAGAAAAATATTTTTGGGGGGAGGGGGGGTTTGAGTATAAATAATAAATATGTTATATTATGTAATAAAATATGAAATAACAAACTAACAAAAAAAATGTTGGGGGCATCTGAACCCTAACCCCCCTGGCTACAGCCTTGTTCTACTGTAATTCGCTGTTGATGGTTTGCCTAGATTTTTTTTGTTCTTTCATAATTCACGATAATTCATAACTGGCTGATAAGCCTACATAATTGATGGTATGACCTAATATTATTCATAAGAGCACCTATATGATTTACAAAATATCTTTTACACAGCTGTGTAACTACTATAATATATTAGCTAGCTTGGTAGGTAGTTAGAAATAATAAAAAATTGTGTAACCAGTACCTATTTGTCAAATATGGTTCAAATAAGTGTTATTATAAATTAATAGTTGTACAAATGTACAATTATTGAATCAAGGGTCAATTTCAAGTATATAATTTTGGAATTTATAAGTGTTCACTTTAGCTTTTGTTTTGATATTAGATATGTTAATCAATTTAAACTGGTTAATTTTTCTACCTATAGTTATTATGTTATTACTGCTCTTAGATATTATGTTGGTTAAATGTTAAGTTACAGTTGCGTAGACAACAAATTTCATTGTGGGGAGGGGGGGAAATGCATTATATGATAAATTGCAAGGTAGTGCTTCCCGCACTAATATTATATATAAAAAAAGGTCATGGGGTCATGAAGGGATCCATACGCCCACCACACTGTGTATATGCCCATGGATAAGTACTTATATTAAACTTATTAGTTATTTTTGGTAAGTTATTATTAGTAGGTGTTCTACCTATGCAAAGTGAAATTAATGCCACAAAATGTTTCAAAGTTTTTCCCTTTTCTTCGTATATTTCTTAATTATGTATATCTTATAAAGTTAATAGTTTTACCTTAATTTAGAAGTTAAGTACATATTCTTGTTTTATTAATGTACCTATTTTTAGTGAACATCCCAAACAGATGCCTAAATTGGCATGATAGCTACTGTTAACACTTAAAAGGACACTCCCATGAATTTGATATTTTTTGTCTCAATCTTACAAACATACATTAAAGAAAATGTTTGTTCACTAGTTTCAATAGTGTGTTGTTATTTTTATATTAGAATGAATTGACATATTATCAAACTTTTAGGTAAGAAATTAAGAACATTATCTGTGCTTAAGCTCCGACTTTTATTCAATATTTTAACTTTTGAGCAAGTATAGGTATGTGAAATATCACAAATTAAAAATGCTCATATCTTGCTTGAAAATTAAAATATTGATTTAAAGCCGATACTAAATCACAAATAATGTTATTACCTAAGAGTTTGATAATAGGTAAATTCCTTTAATATCAAAACTAACAAGTACATTATTCATACTAGTGAACATAAGCGGAGCCAGAAGTGTTGTTCAGCATATGCAGAATCTAAATCGGCCCACCACTAGTAGGGGAGTAGAATGGGGAGGGGGAGCTAATTCATAAAATCGCAAAAATATTTTTAATAGTCACCTTATATTTAATAATAATTAAGATTGAAGTATGTTATAAAAATATTATAACTACATTACTTATGTCATTACTAATAATAATAAAAAAAAATACATACATACCTATTGATAATATTAACGTAAATAAACGTTACTCAAAATTATTATAATGACATTCGTCTCTTAAAATCTACCGCTATTTTAAAATCGTCTATAACAGCATCAGCATCAACATTGACTGCCATTTCTTGCTCTACTGTCAATACCACCAAAGCATTCAATCTTTCTTGCTTCATGGTAGATCTTAATTTGGATTTGACTATTTAGAGAAAGACCTCTCACAAGTACAACTTGTTACTGGGATCACTACAAACTTTTGAATTACATTAAAAAATTGGTTAAAGTATTTATAATGGTCATTAGCAGGGCTCGTAAGTTCATGCATCTGCATGTTTTTTTTTTGCCACACAGGAAAACATGCTAACTGAGATACAAATCCGTTTCATAACAATAGTAATAATAATATGAAGTTTGATAGTGCATGTTTTTGCATGTTTTGGGTGTAAAGTCATATTTGGCATATAGTTGATTTTTTATAGTCGTTAGTGCATATTATTTCATAAAAATATTTTTTAGACAAATATTTGAAAAGTTTCTTCCGGTTTTTGATATCTTGTTCCAATCGTCCAATATCGCATGGTAAATTATAACGGTTTTTTAAATTTTTTATTGAATAATTATTAAAAATTAATAAAAATATCGAGAATCAGGCTTCTTACGATTGTAAAAAAAGTTCTACTTTACAATTTTTATAATAGGTATTTTTACTGTAAACCACTTCAATAAGCCGTATTACTTGAATTACGAAACCATGGTTTTATGCCTTATTTTGTCTACTTATGCGCCCTCTTGTTGGAAAACATAAAAAAAACACTTATAAAATATATATTACTAAATTATCTCAAAATGAAAAACCTAATATTTCATTCCAAATGTTTCCATTGCTGGTGCTGAATAAGGGTGTACACGAATTAGACAAAATTGACTACCTAATTAAAATTTATAAAGATGACAAAGCTATTTGAACTTCACAAGTATTAATTTTATTTTTTATTTTATTAATTTTGACTGTTAAATATATAAAAATTAGGAGGAATAAAATACTTTTAAAATGTATGGATTTATTCTTATTATTTTAAAATTTGGTCATGTTTTTTTTACATAATGCATATTTTGAGTGCATAATTTAAAAAGGTGGGTAAGTGGATGTCGCTCTGCTGTACAGTAGGTTACAAGTGGGTCACTGTATAATGGATGCTTTTAAATTTGAATTCAATGATACAATATCATTGTATAAGAAAAACGATTCTGAGCGAAGACGGTATGTCAGTCTAGGTTTAAGACAAATTATATACATATCTATGGTATTAAAAAAAAAATTGACTTATAATAAATTCCAAATTAATTATCAAATAATAATATAATTAATAATAATATAATATATAATATATAATATATAATATATATTTATTTATAATTAATATTATCACATTATCACAATATCCATTAGGTACTTATAACATGTTATACATCAACATCAATAACAAACCCTGATACTATCATAGATATATAATAGTACACTTTAGAAGTTTCAAGTAGGTACCCCGTACCCACGAATAATATTATATAATCACAACAAAATAACTAGGTTTTTTAATATGAAATTTCGTCCAAATTTGAACATAAAATGACTATAAAAATAAACTGTGATTGTATATTTTTTAGATTTTTCGGTAAGAGAATTAACTACTTACGTAAAATCTTGTTTTAAATTTTCAATCCTTAGCTATAAAAACTGAACATTTTATAATTTATTAATTACGATGATTGATAATTTTCGAGATTTTGATAAATTTTGTCAAAATTTGATCTTTAAATGCTTATAAAAAAAAACTGTGCCTATGTATTTTTAATATTTTTCAACTGATATTGTAACAATATATCAGGAGCCTTGTATTAAATTTTTACACTTTTTGAACCAACAGATAAAACTTTATTCATATTTATAGAAAAAAAAACTAAAAAAAATTGAAAGCTGTAAAGGTCCGTAAACGGCTCAAAAAGAGTCAAAATATTTTCAAAATTGTATGGTGTATAGGAAATGCTAATATAAACATTCAGTGAAATTTTCATGTATCTACAGTAATTCGTTTTTTAATTACAACAAAAAAAGGAAATTGCCACATGAGAAATCGAGTGAATATCCAATGTTGTAAAAATTTGAATTTCAAACGCTCATAAAAATTTAATTTGACTTTCCGGTAGAGATTTTTTTATTGATAAAGGTAGACAATCTTATGAGTAATCTTGTATTAGATTTTCAAATCTTAGATTTAAAAAGAAAAATTTTTACGAATTCTTAACTCAAAATAATTTGCTAATTTTCGTGATTTTTCCATATTTTGTCAATTTTTGAACTTTAAATGCTTATAAAAAAAAATTGTGACTAAGGATTTTTAATATTTTTCATCTGCCTTTGAAACAATATATTAGGAGCCTTCTATTAAATTTTCAAGCTTTCGCAACCAACAAATAAAATTTTATTGATATTTCTAGAAAAAAAACTAAAAAAAAACGAAAAATGAAAATGTCCCTAAACTGTTCAAAATAAATCAAAATATTTTGAAAATGTTATCGTGTATAGAAGATGCAAATATAAACAACCAGTGAAAATTTCATGTATCTACGGTCATTTTTTTTAAAGTTACACCAAAAACCAGAATCGATTTTTTGGAAAACCGATTTTGCGTAAAAATTCCCGTTTTTCCTTAATTTTTATGTTGTTTTTCCCGGCGCTCTTGAAAACTACTGTGAAATTTAAATTTTGACCTCCCCAATGCAACAACGATATTCACTTTCCAATCGAACAAGATACTGAAGTCGAAAATCGAAGCATTATTTCGACTACTTATCGTGTACACAGACACAAAAAAAATAAATATAAAAACACACATCATTGTAAAATCAATACATTCATCGTTTCACTCAGAATCTAAAATGTTAATGCATATAAATGCATATTTTTGAACTTTTAAGTGCATATTTTAATGCATATTTTGACAATTTCTAGTGCATGAATGCATGCTTATTTATGCATTTTTTAGTGCATGAAGTTACGAGCCCTGGTCATTAGACTTCAGCCAAATTAACCATTCATGGATTTTACTTTTATTACTGAAACTGTCTTTATTTGGAATCGTAGAATTATTTTTTATTAGCATTACTTCTATTTCTAGTTTTTCACTATCACATTGAAACGTTTTAAACTATCAACTGCATGTATAGCTTGTATAGTGTCCTGGCTAAATCGTTCATCAATACTATGAACCATCACGTCTATCATTAGATAAAAGGCTGTTATTCTAAGTTCCGATTCTTTAGTTTCTTGAACAAATTGTGTTTTGTTACTGTCTATGTGAGAAGAGATTTTTCTTTTATTAATTAAAGGAATTGGAACATCCAATTCTTTACACATAGATACACTTGTATCAAATATTTTTTTTTAAATATTCTTCTGTTCTTATTTATAAAAATCAATTTTTCAGTAGTTCTGTGGAAATCATATTGTTAATCCAATATTTAAAATGTATTATGTAACCTTTAAACGGGCTTTTAAATTATAGCGGATTTTCGGGGCGATCTGGGCGTGCGGCTGCATACCCTGCACGCCCTGTGGCTCCGCCTATGCTAGTGAACAGAAATGTATTATGCCGTGTGTAATGTTATCATGAAATACTGGAAAAAAAATTGTTCTTATGGTAACATAATCATGTACTTTTATGTACTTATAAACAGTGGCAGATCCAGGGGGGGGGGCAGGGACCTTGGCCCCACCAGACCTCTTCAACAGACTCCTCTTTTTACTTACAGAAGTATTTTAAAGTGCGTAATGTACTGCATTATAATAAATTACACAATCTATTTATCTTTTTTGGAAGCCATTGGTAATTTTAAATGAAAAAATTGACTAATTAATCTTAAGAAGAAAAAAAAAAATTATTTAATTATTTAATCTAAAATAGGTTAATAACTGTGTTATACAAATTTAAAAATTGTAATGTTTTAAAAGCTTTTTTTTAAAACCAATACTTAAATTATATGTAGTTCAACATGATTTTTTCAAATAAAACAATAGTTCTAAGTTAAGAAAAATTGAGGTTAACTTGGGACAAGCATATTTCGGGGCGAATTAAAAAAAAAAAAACATGGGTCGCCAAGACCAGAATTTTTGGTCCTTACCATTATTATTTATTATCATATATTGAAAACTTATTGATCAGCATTCATCTGAAGCTCAAAAGTGTCCCAAGTAAATCCATTTTACAGTAAATTCATTTAAGCAGACAGCCTTAAAAATCAGCATTTTAATTTTTATTAAATACCTATAGGATATTATTTGAATGTTTTTTGAGAATTTAGATAAGAGTGTAACGACCAGAATAAATTATTAGTGTCCCATTTCTAATCCATTAAATTACAGTTGTATGAAAGTACTTTGACAGTTCCAAAAAGAGTAAGTGCAAAAACACCTTCCACCCCATACTTCGTGGAAGCACATATTTTAAAGAAATATTTATCATTAGTACAACTCGCATTAAAAATAGGTAGGTAATAAAGTAAAAAAAATTTAAAATCAATTTTGTTTATATTATACTTGCATATTGTGTTTAATGATAGAATGTGTAGGTACTATGAATTAAAATCATATTTAACAACATGTAGGTAGTAGCCATTAGCTAAATTATATTAATTTGCTTAATCTATTAAGTAGGTAATCACCAAAGTAATGACATATTGTAATATATGCTTGTGTTTCTACTTAATCATTATGAAATAATTACATTTTTTTTTTTTTGTTGTTGTTGCAGTTTATAGTAATCTACTCAATACATTATAGTCAGTAAATAACAGGTGTTAAAATGAGTTCATTTAATGATAGAGCACCAATCCAAGAAGTACCATCACCAATGACAAATTTAGCGAATTGTCTAGGAACATCACTAACAGTCAGACGCAAACTAACATTATCTGAACCCAGTGAAACTCCAAAAAAATGTTATGATAACATACTCCACGGTAAATTTAAATGTTCTACTTAAAATATTTTAAAATCTTATGTTATAGTGTGATTTTATAATTAAAATTGTTCAATACCACAGTATCTATTTCTAAACCATTTGATTCTTTTTTTGCCTCATTATATACATGGTTTATAGATATATCGTAATTAATATTGTTCACACTACAATTATAATTTGTTTAAGTTACAACATATCCACACCCGCTTAGTAGAATCAACAATTTATTTTTGATTTAAAATCCATAATTAACATTACATATAGGTAGTAATAACTTCTATACACTAATGTCTCTCTTTCTCTTTATTCTTTGATACCTATGTTAGAGATATTTACTGTTGAATAATTTGTGTTAAAATCAACACTGTATATATTGTGTTAAAATAACTTAATTGTTGTATATTATTTTGTTTAATTAAAATGATTTTCTATTTTCAATTAAATAAATGAAACAATAGATCACGACTTCAACAGTTCATCAAATACCAGGTAAATAATATTTGTTTAGATGATTGTACTACTTTAAATATTTTTATGACGTAGGTACCTATTTAATTAACTTTATATTATACTATTAAAGATTATTCAAAGGAAGTTCAAAAAATATTAATGATAGTCCAACATTCAAATGTTTGATGCATCAAAAAATGATCAACAGTCCAGTTGAGAAAGAAAACACAACTAAGTGTTTGGATACATTGGTCTCTAAATCAATTTTATCACCATCCCAATCGAGTCCAACTGTAATTTTATTTTTAATAATTATTTTAACTTTTATTCTAATAAGTTATAATATGTAGTAATTAGTAATTTATTATAACCAAATAAATTTGTGTAAAATACTTAATTAAGTATTATTTCAAATATATTCTTACTTAGTGAGTAAATAATAATTATATTGTATTACTTTTCAGTTCTTGATGCACAGTCGTAATATAAGAGGTCGTCACCCATTAGAAGATCATGATCCTAATTCTCAAGATAGTGGTTTTTTTTCAGTGCTCTCTGAAGATTCCAGGTCATTAACCAGGTATTTTTCTAAAATCAGTGTTTTTATTTTTATTTTCAACTGACTAATATATTTTTTTGTGTATGAAGATTTGAACCTAAGACTGTAATTGAAAAGAAAAATTCATCATTAAATGTTTCTCGGTCAGATTCAATTGTTTGTCACAAAGGAATCACAGAAATAGATGATCCATTTCTAGACAATGTTAATTCTCCAGCAAGATTGGTAAATAATAAATAATAATACATTATAATTTAATATTTACTATAATTTAATATGATGGTTGAAGTCGCAAGATTCACTTCCTGGTGAATTTAATACTTTGATCGATGGAGATATTTTTGCCTTACATTCGCCAATAATTAAACCTATTGTCAGACGAAGAAATCCTAAATATGATTCAGATACACCTCGAAAAGTTGTAAGTAGTTACTTTATTAATGCATATCATTTTTTTCAATTTATCATTTTATTTCTGACAAATAGGATTTAGTTTTTGGGGAAGTTAATAATACTGATGTTGTTGTGAAGAAACGTAAATTATTTAATGAATTTGAGTGTCCTTCTGAGAAATCAATTGTATCTAAAAGGTTAAAGCCTAATGTTGATCTATCAATGTCATTTGATTCTCCAAGATTAGACACTGGAAATACTTCTTTAACTGCTCCTGTATCGTACAAGAAAACTACACTTTTTGATTATGGATTTTACAAAAATAGTGCTTCTAAGCTACGAAGATCATTTTCAACTAATGAAGCCACGATAAAAGCTGCATTTGAGAAAGGTCAGTAGTACACTAATACATTTAAAATGAAGCAATTCAATTATTATTTTTTTTTATAAAATTGTTAAAAAAAAAAAAAAAAACATTATTGATAATTTTAAATTATATAAATTTATATTTCATGATAATAATATAGTCTGCTACAGTAAATTTATTTAGTAAATTTACATAATTAAAAAAATATATTCCCTTATTTTTTTTAACAGTTTTCTATGATTTTTATTCTCAATAGAATTTTAATGCAGAACAGTTTTTATAAAAAGGTTATCATAATATAATTATTGAATACTACAGGTTAAAGCCAATCTCTGTATCCTAATTGTGACTGTTTTTAACTAAAAGTATAAGGTGCATTTGTTCCAATTTTAATATAATAGGTATTATAAAATATAGTGTAGTTTCTAGTTTTTTACTTATATTTAAAAAGTATGGTGCAAAAACCTCTAAATGGGCACAAGATTTTGCTACATAATGTCATACTTTATTACAACACAATATTATAATTATTACTTTATTTTATCATTGTTAAATGTTCGACCGTTTGTACATAAAGTACATTAGTGATAATATTACATGCAATTTTATCCATATAATTGGTGTTATTTGATTTGTATTTATTTGTTTAATTAATAGTTTTTATTTTTTTAATTAATGTTCATATAAGATGAATAGTATACCACCAATTTATTAAACCAAAAAAATGTTACAATTAGTTTTCTTCATCTGAGCCTTAATGTTTTCTCTTTGAGTTCAACAAAACTAGTTTTGTGGTTTAGCTTTAAGATTAGAGTTAATCGACAAATTAGTCAATTTAGTATTATGAAACTCAAAGGTAAGAATGTGATCTAAGGCAGCTCATAGACTTTAATTGATATTTTAATTTTAAATTGAGATGAGCCCTTTGAAGTTGTAATATTTGACATGGTTATAAGTTATAACTCATTTTAAAATTAAAATAATTATAAGCCTGAAGGTGTTCTAGATAATATTTTTACCTCTATTTTTGTTAGTAGATCAATTTATTCTAATATTAAACCTAACAATTGCAAGTTTGGTTCTGCTGATAAAAAAGTATCTATCTTGCAAGTGGGCTAGACTGAGAAAACAAAAGTGTGCTGACATCCTCTTCAATGGTTCACAATTTAAGATATTTATTACAAGCCAAATTTAGGACTTAAAGCACCTAAAACTTTCATGTTTGTCTACTAAAAATATAAAATACTAAGTATTTATTTGTGCCTGTGCTGAATATAATTTTCTAAGTTTGCAAAAACAAATTAGTCTTTAACCGTAGTTATTGCTTGTGTTTTATCACTTAGAAAATATTCTTAAAAAAACTAGTAAAAAGCATTCAAAGTAAATCCACCGAAATGAGCACGTTCAAATTTCAAATCTGAAATCACATAATAAACAAAACATTTTTCAAACCAAAAATACAACTAGCAAATGTTCCAATTTCCAAGTTCCGAACCCTGTTTATAAGTATTACTTATAAATAATTTGTTTGGTTTCTATTATTTAAATCACTCAATAATAATATTATTCTTTTATTTTCTCAGAGGATAATGTATCAAATTTAATTGGTGACTTCAGTCAATCATTTATATTGCCTTTGTTATCACTTGGCCGTCATGCAGATCTTCGTAGTATATCTCCTGATACATTAGCTCATTTATTGGAGGGCACATTCAATGATTGTATCGATTCCTATCTGATAATAGATTGCAGGTAATACAAATATTATTTTATTGTAAATAGAATTGTATTTTGTATTTATTAATTAATTTTATTTGTAGATACCCCTATGAATATGAAGGTGGTCATATAAGAGGAGCAATCAACATATTTACTAAAGAGCAACTAATTAAAGATTATACTGAAGACAAGTTGGGTAAAAAATCTCATAAAACTGATAAAATTAATGTGAAGAGAAATGTTTTGATATTTCACTGTGAATTTTCATCAGAGAGAGGCCCAAGTCTGTGAGTAAAATGTTATGAATTTAATATTTCATTTTATATTATTTATTATTATAATAGACTTAAAATTGTGTTATACATATGTAATTTGTATTATTATTTGTTGAGTGTATTCAACTTGATAAGTAGTAATAAATTCCGACTTATATTCCAACTTAGAATGACACTAAGAAATAATTTTAAAATATTAGGTGGAATATATTAAACTCTTTAAGGACATAAAATTCCTGACTTTAGTAATAATGATTTATTCTCAGTAAAATTAATAGCAACTAAAACTAAAGCATACCCAAAACAACAATATTTTTAGTCTTTAAGTTATAAGGTTTTATTATTCTTTTCATTGTAAAATATACAATAAAATATAATTATATTAATCCTAAAAATCTAAAATGTAACCCACTGAACTCATGTAAATATAAATACTAATTATTAAAGTGATCAGATTATAATAATATAACTTACTTTTAAATAATATTTTTAAAGTACTAAATAAACATGATTGAACTATTTCACATTTTGTTTGAAGTAATCCAAAGAAATTAACAAGGCTTGCATTTGAAAAAAAAAATTCCGTTTTATGTTATTTACAATTAAAACGTTACACAACTTTTGCGTTTATCGTTATAGAAGTTTTGCGTTTATCTTTATTTAAAAAAGTTCTAATACCTATTGAATTTAAAAATAATACTAATACCGGTAGGTAATGGCTCGAATACGGATTATAATATAATCAATTCTTAGATTGATTGCATGAAATAAATGTATAGATTATAAAATATTTTGTTTTGCGTTATTTTCGTTTAAGGATATTCTATAAATTACGTTTTGCGTTATGTTTTGTTTAAGACGACGTGATACCCGCATGTGTTGTCTCTGTCTTACAAGTGCATAACATAGACAATTTTACGCTCAGCAAAACACGTGTAGCTCTGCTAATTTAAAAATTAGAGTAAATTGACCTCTTATAAAACTAAAGGTAAGATTATTATCTAGACAATCTCCTGAGCTTTTTATTATATTTTAATTTTTAAGCGAGCTATGAGTATTTTAAAATTGTAAATTGTTTGTATATTTTAAAGTATTCATAACTTGCTTACAAATTAAAATATAATAAAAAGCTCATGAGGTTGTCTAGATAATAATCTCATCTTAAGATTTTATAAAAGGTCAATTCACTCTAATTTTTAAACTAACGGAGCTACACGTGTTCTGATTTACTTAGAATTTGCTATGTTACACACTTGTAAGAATGAAAGGATGCATGCAGGTATCACGTCCTCTTAATGATATATAACATATTTTTTTAATCCTTATGTTTTGTTTTTGCGGTATTTAATATTTTTTGATTATTGTTTTCCGTTATAATTACGTTTACAAATTTCAATCTTTTTTTTGTCAAATATGGAAATTAATAACCTGTTTTTTTTTTTTGTAGGTCACGATATCTACGTAACGCAGATAGACAAAAGAACAGTATGTGCTATCCTTATTTGGACTATCCAGAAATGTATTTGCTTGATGGTGGGTACTGTAAATTTTACAGTCAACACAGTCGTTTGTGTGTGCCGTCTAGCTATCGGTCAATGTATGATCCTGCCCACACCTCAGAACTAAGAAAGTTCAGGTCCAAATCAAAAACATGGGCTTGTCACAATGAGGCAACGCCAAGGTTAGCAGGCAAAAACACACTCAAACGATTGGGTTTTAATTAATCGCTTTTACGAGTATTTTTATAGTTTGAGTATTATTTTATGTAAATAGTGTTGAAATTTCTTTTTTATTGATTTGTATTTGGATATTTTTTTTTGCGTTTTATTTTTATTCTTTTTAACCATTTAACCATATTTTTTTTCTATTTTAAAACTGATTTGTTTAAGTATTAAATTAGATCCCAGTGCAATTTTGTATAACTTTTGTGATGCTATATTAAAGTAAAAGCACTGTTAGCTAAGTTTCCAAAAAAGAACATTTAATTTTTATCATTTAATCATACCCATTGTGGTTTCAATTATTTGATATAGATCGTTAATATAAAATCAAATACATATAGTTTATTATGTACGTGTGTTTGTGTGATTTTAATATATTTGCTAAGTGCAATGTGATTTTTTATAGAACATTAAACTAAAAAAAAAAAACAATGTTAGTTGTGGGTTAACATTAAAAAAAAAAAGACTTGTAGGATTAATTTTATTTTTTACAATGCATTATTAAAATAACTAAGATATAAGTGAATAAAAATCAATTGAATGTGTTTTTTTCATTATTTTTTTTTTTAATTTCGCTTTGCCCATATTGTGTTCTACATTTTTATGTGTAGTTAGTAAAATGTGTATATACTCGTAGTAAAGCTAAGTATTTAAAAAAAAATTGTATTATTTATTTTATTTTTATTTTTTTCATATTTTGTCTGAAATATTAATAGTTATGAGATCATACGTACATTATATTATATTTTAATATATATATCTATGTCATCGGCTGTTAGTTACAATTTTATATTATTATAATAATATTTAAACAATCTCTTTATCGACTCGTTTAAGAGTGTATTAAATAAACAAAAAAGTTAAAACATGATTTTAATATTTTCTATTTATAACAACTAGCGATAGATATTTTATTTGTTTATTATTATTTTTTGGTCTTCTTTATATTGAGGTTGAGAAATACAAATTATTTTAATATTTTATACCTATTTGTTTCCTTCTTTAGATGAGTTGACTTTTAAAATAATATTGTGTATAAAACGCTACGCTTGGAGTGTACAAAGAGAATTGTTTAGTCAATTTTGAATTTTTAGATAATTATTTATTTTTATTGTATTAATTTGAAAATGTTATTATTCGAAATATAGAAATTTAGTTTGAAACTAATCAGTTGTATTATCATCTACAAAAAAAAAATCACAAAACATGTTCTGGCATGTCAAGTAATTACCAGGTATTAATGCAACAAATATTTTTGACCGTTGTATGACAACTATATACTCAATCAAGTGTGAATCAACCACCCAGTTTTAATCCTGACAAACCGTATTACCAACTTGCCAGTGTTCATATAATTCAAGTCCTGTAACACAAGTGAAAGAAATAAAAATACAATTGGAGTGTAAAATAATTGTTTACAAAAATGTTGGATGTCGTTTTCAATATTTTATAATGACTACCTACAAATATTGAATAATGTGTTACATGTAGATTGTAGTTAATAGATATTATGAAGTATTGTTTGCTTATACTATTAAAACTTTATAAATTTGAAGAAAAAAAAAGTGGATAAGTGGGTGTCGCTCTGCTTTGGGTCAAGTGGTTAGTGGGCCACTTACATTCATTTTTGTCATTTTATTTTAACTAAAATGTTATTTTTACTTATTCTTGCTTTTAATAGGTATGTAATTTCGTCCAAATTTGAATTTAAATGTATATAAAAGAGATAGCCGTGTTTAAATATTTTTTTTTTATTTGTTGGATACAGTAACTATTTACTGTTAACGAGAATCCTTGTTTTAAATTTTAGATCCTTAGCTACAGTAATTTAACATCTTATAATTTTTCATAACAGCAAAATTATTTGAAATTTTTTGAAATTTCAATAAATTTTGTAAAAATTTAAACTTTAAATACTTATAAAAAAAATTGTGTTCATGGATCTTTAATAATTATTAACTGCTATTATAACTACCTATGAGGAACCTTGTATTACATTTTCAAGCTTTTTGACACAATGTATAACATTTTATTGACATTTATAGAATAAACACTAAAAATATTTCAAATTACAAATGTCAAAATGAGTCAAAATATTTTAAAAATTTTTATCATGTGTAGAAAATGATAAAATAACATTCGATGAAAATTTTAAGTACCTACGGATAATAGTGTTTGAATAGCAAAAAACTAAAAAAAATTGTTTTAAGGATATGAGAATTTGTAATAAATTAGGAGTGAATATCTTATGTCTAAATTCAAACGTTCGTAAAAATTTATTTGAGTTTTCGGTAAAAGTTTTTTCTGGTAGGAAAACATAAGGAGAGTCTTGTATTAAATTTTCAAAGCTTAGTTTTGAATAGACATTTTTTATGAATTTAATTTCAAAATAATTTACTAATTATCGTATTTTGATGAATTTTGTCAAAATGTTATCTTCACTCTCAAAAAAAAATGACAATCGATTTACTCTCAACATTTTTTTTTAATTTCCACTAATAACAACTTATGAGGTACTTACGTTGTATTTTATTTTCAAGGTTTTTGACCGAGCAAAAAATGTATCGATAATAGCTCAAAAAAAGACATAAAACTTGTAATTTTCTAATGCCTATATAGCTTATAGATATAATATCGATGGCGTAGCGCACAAGTGTGATAAGTGACATTTTCGTAATTGTTCAGGAGAACGATTTTTAAGTTTGAGATGTTATAACAAATTCAAAAATGTAACGAACTGTACGACATCTATCGGAGTAAATAATGAACTATTCACTTACAACGTTTGGGCATAATGTGCAGAATTGTATGATTAAATTGATTATGCACTTAACTCATTTTTCAAAAAAATGTCACTTATCACACTTGTGCGCTACGCCATCGATATATATTATTTCAAAACGGTCATGATGCATAGAAATTCAGTGAAATTTCATGTATCTACGGTTTGTTTTTAGAGTTACACTAAAAAAACAGAATATTTTTTTTAAAAACTAGTTTTGCGTAAAAAGCTCAGTTTTTCTTTAGTTGTTTTTTTTCTGAAGCTTTTGAACGCCAAAGTAGGTACCTACAGTTTACCAACTATATTCACTTTCCTTTTGGTGACCGACCCCCACCGACCATGTCGTTTCTAGTCCATTATTTGAACAAAATAATATAGTTCAGTTCAATATATATTGTGTCTACTAAAAGAAATGCTTTGAACAGTTTGAACCCAAAAAGTATTTCTTCTCTTATGCTGATTAATTGTGTGGGGCCACATGTTTGTACCTGAGGCTTATGTTGTATCATGGGAACAATAGGGCAAACATGTGCTGATGAAGTTGGGTGCAATACGATTGCACTCGGTAGTCGGTACTTATCAGCGGTAGTGCGGTACCTTTTTAGGCGTACGATTGCGAGCGTTAAATTGTTTTAACTTCTTAGCAACGTTGCCAAATATACAGGTGCGAAATAAAATTATAACGACGGAAAAAGTACCTAAGTTTTTAGCCTTAGTTGGAAATCGGTATCAGGGCTTTAAAATTTAACTTAAAATTATTAAATGTAATTCGTCAATTTTTTTTCAATTATTTATTTTTTAATTTATTTATCTATTCGAATATTTAACCATTTTTAATGAATATTTTTTTTATAACGATAATTATTTACTTTTATGACGTAGACTGCGGATAACGCTAATTTTTATAAGTCCTTTAGCACCCCTTCTTTTATATTTCCAATTCGAGCACCGATTTTTACTATATCGAAAGGTAATAGGTTACCTACCTACTACCTACATTATTCCAAATGCTCCCCTCAGAATTTAAAATGTAAAATAAAATGTTTGATTTGAATTCTCTGTTTACGATGATATTAATACATTTATACATGTCTACAAACTAATAATCAAATTTTGTATTTATTTGGCTATTGACGTGTTCAGGAGAAAAAATTGCTACAATTTCTCTGGGCCTAATCTATAATAGGTAGTATATAATAAGTAATAGGTTATATATTATAATGCTAGCCACTAGGTATACTCACTATTATACTGGTAAACGGACAATAATTGGTCCCCGGCCAATATTTTTCTCTAGACACTGTACATTTGTTTTCGCAGCATTGCAATTAATTTATGTATAACTGTATAAGTTAAACGTATCACTAAATACTAAGAAGTGAATTAATAAATCAACAATTCTTACAGAATTTTAAAAAGTACGTATTTTGAGACATGTTTTATCCACCATAATTCGACCCCCCAAAATGGAATAATATAAAATTATTAATTCATAACCCAAAAGTATTTTTATAATAATATTACACACTTTCTTATTTTTTATGCCTCCCTCCCCTTCACAAAACATTTGAAAATACGCCACTGCGCACACCCTTGGATCTATATTATTAATTTATTCTATGCCTACGACAGTCGGGACGAAATTGGCAATATTTTCGTCCGTTACGTTGAATCAGCAGTCGGTAGTCAGTTAATCGGTTTCCTCGTCGAATTGGCGCGCGAAACGTGACCGGCGTACTATGCATAATAACCGCTTCGTGACACGCGCCGTGGGTACACTGGCTACCAGGGGACCATGAAGTGCCTATAGTCGTATGTAATTCGCGTGCACTCCGCAATTATTCAGAGTTAGTATATTTTTTCATTTTTGAAAAAAAAAACTGTTTCTTCTCTGTTCAAAACGAAACAAATTGTTTGAGTATTAATAACAGTGTCTTAAACAGTATAATAAAACGGTTTAAAACTTTAAAACAATTTGTTTTGTTTAAAACATCGTTTCGAACAGAAAATAACAGTTTAAACTTTAAAACAAAAATACAGTTTAAAAAAAAAAAAACACAATATTCACTTGGATAATACACTGGTTTAAACATAACAATCCTACTTCTCACGGAGTAATAAATAATAATATTTAACACATTTTTAAATCCATGACTACAGAGCATCTAAAATATTAAACTATATCTACTATAGCTAGGTACTAAACAGTAAACTATAGTAAGTACCTACTAAGTTCTAATCGTCATGTCCGCGAAGGACAATAAACACGACCTACATGAGAGGACGCAAGCGCAGCAGTGTCTGTTTGCAAAAACTATTATTTACCCGAGTATTAAATAAAAACTAATGCCTAGGGGGGATTTATTTTCAAGCTTTTTTACCCAACAAATAAAGTTTTATCGACATTCATAGAAAAAAAAGACTTATAAAATTGGAAACAGAAAATGTATCTAAACAGTTAAAAACAAATCAAAATATTTTGAAAATTCATAGAAAATGCAAATATAAACGACCAGTGAAAATTTCATGTACGTACCTACGTTCATTTTCTTTTGAGTTATCTACGCCCAAAACCAAAAAAAAATCTGTACATTTCGTAAAAATTCCCGTTTTTCCTTAATTTTTGTGTTGTTATTCCGGCATCTCTTGAAAACTATAGGAAATTTCGACCTTCCCAGTGTATCAACAATATTCACTTTCCCATCAAACAAAGTAGGTACTGAAGTTGAGAATCGAAGCATTTTTTACACTACTTATCGTGTACACAGACACAAAAATAAAAAAACACACATCATTTTAAAAATTAATACATTCATCGTTCCACTCAGAATCTAAAAGGGATTATTTTTTTTTGTGGGGGGGGGGGGGCGTACAAATATTGTTGACCCAGGGCTCAAAAAGTGTAAATACTGCCCTGAACACAGATCATGATGATACATTATTTTAATTATTGTCAAAATGTATGACAGCATATAAATGTAATCAAAAAAAAATTAATAGTTACCTATCATTGATTGACAAAATGAGTAAATTACGCTAAATGGCCTTATCTTAGTCATGCAATGCAAAAAATCCAAGTATAGGTACTCAAACAAATTATTATCAAAAAAAAAAAAAATGTTATTTATATAATATACACCGGCGCCTGGCCTCCCCCTAAATATAAAACATTTCAAATGCTTATACCTATAGTTATATGTAGTTTAAAATGTATTTAGATATTTAGACATATTCATTGAGTATAAAGATAGTGATATTTTAAGTACTTAACAGTAGTTTCAAGTTTTTACTACTAATTTCCAATTTCGTAAAAATTTTTCAACTTCAGACACTCATATAGGTATAATATTTTTGTGGAATGACTCTCAACTTTTCTTTTTTAGTTACAATAATAAAAACTTATGAGAAACTTTGTAGGTACTAAATTTATAGACATTTATAGACAAAATGTAGGTATAGACATTTATAGAAAAAATTGATAAAAATGTCAAGTATTTATTATTTGTTTTGGTCAAAAACCTGGTTTAAAATTATTATTTATTAAGAAGTGTACGAATAATTTTTTACAATAAATTGACCTTCTAAAGTACCACCTATAGATTTACTCTCCTAGAATTTTGAACCATTTTAACCTGCTCCAAGACATTCAAATGTAAGTTCTGATTTTAATCGACAAATTTTTTCACATTTCTTACTGTCAAATTTAAAATGAAATGTGGATTACATCACCCCTAGTCTCCTGGCTGTTAATATTGACCAAAGTTATCTAGATCCTAGTCCCTAAAGTAGGTATTTAACCGCGATATCGAAGTGGTATTCAGTAAGTATTCCCGGAACATTAACTCAAAGCTTGAGCTTCTTTACAACTTCACAGCCTCACAGGATCAACTAACAAACATGGCCACATTAAATATTGAAATACTACCAAACATCAATAATCTGAATTGATAGCGTCATAGCGACATTCTGTTATAGGCAATTTTGCTAAATAAAAACAAAAATAAAGTATTAATATTTTTTATTTTTTTTTTCAATGCATTTCACCAGCTCATTCTTAAGTTTATTACTCACTTAGCTGTTAACATTTGTTTTACATTCATCAGGATTTTTTTACTGTTTTTTTTTATTTAAACAATATTGTAGAAATAAATGAAGTCTGTAATATCCACTCTTTGAAATAATAATAAGTAAAAATATATTATTAAAGTTATAAATGCTCTGTCAAACAGAACGAGTTAAAGCGGTAAATGGCTTGTCGGCGTGGTGCTTTCGCCGAGGCAACGTTGTAACAAATTACAAAATCACGCGACTTTGTAATATCGGTCTGTTTTTTTTTTTATTGAACTTAAAGCTCGGCGACTAAGGCCATTAGTTATTGTTGGGGTTATGAACTGTGGTAGGGGTAAGGTTGATACGGTACGTTGTTTTTACAGTTGTTACGGTAGGTAGGAAACACGTGTATGTGTGGCAAGGTTTTTAACTACTATGAACCCGGGTGGTCACCCATCTGAGAGCTAGTAGCTGTGGCCGTCACTTACTCCCAGTCGCATTCCGTGACTGGTAGCAGCCAAAGCGCCATGCCAAGCTTTCTGTTTGACAGAGCCTTAAGCTTGCCTGTATGAGTAAAATATACATTATTGTTGTATATTATTGAATACATTTCAATAAGCTTTGAATATAATAGTTTTTATTTGAAATAGTTAATAATAGCATCTGATGTTAAAGGAATAAGTAGTAAACACATATTATAATATTCAATATTTTCAAAATTAGTATTTTTTCTTTATTAAGTTTCAACAATAAAATATCCAAGAGTTTGTATGTAGTTATTATTTAATATTTTTACAATAAATATACCGATTAAGTACAAAACTATGTAACTGAAGCTTTAACATTTTAAATAATGTGTGTATTATATTATAATATAGTATTAATTATTTGAACCTAATTCGTTTATATTATAATATATTATAAATTAGCATTTCACTAAATACAACCTTAAGTACAAATAAGTAATAATATAAATTATCATATTACATATTGGTTTCAAAAAGGATAAGATATAATTTTTGTATATGTAGTTACATTTTATATAAAAAAATAATAAAAAATAATGGCATCATCTTGACGAAAAAAAAATTGAATTCCGGTACTGTTCGTAACTAAAATTATCAGTATGATAAGTTAAGAAAAATAATTTAAAATAAACAGCAATAATAATAATTATGATAAAACTAATTTTGTGTTCAACAGCAATGACAATGGTAAAAATCATATTGATGGAACAATTCAAAACTAGACATACACGTACATAATATAATATTAAATTAATAATAATAATAATATTAGGCTTACATTGGGCTTTATCACTATTATTGTCATAGATACATAACACCCGAGATTTATAAATCAATTACATAACACGTATATTGTAGATTCTTCATATAAAACTAAAACATAGATATAATTTTTTTTTCTTAGTTTTTTTTTCATACATACATAAATAATATAATTATTGGTATAAAAAATTATAATGGATACATTAACAGCGCTGATATTATGTAAATACTAAATATAAATGTATTATCATCTAATATAGTGATATCTAATAAAAAAAAAAAAAAATATTTAACAACGAATAATCAGGATTCAACACTCAACAACAATCACAACACTCTAAGACATACAAGACTCGCGCTGTAAAGTGAATAAAATACGCCTAAGGGACACTTATTAGAGTTAGCACCAACGTTTTTTTTCTTGAAAAAAAAAAATTCAAATCATGTAATGCTAAAAATAATGTTTAATGTACTTCGAGCATTTTTGGTAACAACTTCGACTCACTAGTTGAATACCACTAATTATTTCGCCGATAATCCATTCGTCATTGATGGTAATTCATCCCTGACAGCTACAGCAGCGACTAGCGCGGCTCCACGACCACTTCCGTCTTCGGACAACATCAGGTCAAACTGCAAAATGTAAATAAAGTTGTGATTTTGTTAGTACTGTAATAACTTAAATCCCACTCACAAGTATTTTATTATACTTATCAAGATTGTATATTATAAAAGTGATGTTATAATAGTTATTATATCATATCAAACTGTAGAACAATTTATAAAAAAAAACAATAAAACATTGTATTATATATGTATGACTAAGGTCCGCTAGTTGAAACCCGTTGACCTAAGTCCTAAGGTAATAACTTTATCTAATCCATACACGACTCACATGTACTCAATGAAAATATTATTAAATACCAGTACACCACTTTATCTTAACACCGTCTTTTCACTCACTTTGATGTCAGATTTGGTCAGTTGTTTGGTCTTTTCCACCATGAGTTTATGGAAGTATGGATGGAAACGGTAAACGGAACCGTCAACGCCGATCGTGACGGACTTCTCGTCCATTTTGTTGAGAAGAGCGGCCAGACCGGCGGACACCAGATGCGCCGACCGCCTGGATACGCATTCGCAAATGTACCGTACGTTGGCACAGTCGACCAATGATGGGTCGTTGATGCCCATCTCGCTCAGAACCTTCAAGGTTTCTTTGTAGTTGGCTTTATCGCTGAAACGCAAAAATCACAATATTAATAGTGTTACACAATAGTAATATGGGAATAGAATGATATAGTATTGAAAAACTATATGAAAATTAATTTTTGTATTTCTAATAATATGGCTTATTGAGCGGTTTGAGAGTAAAAACACCTCTTATCAATATTGTAGAAGATATTATAAATTAATCTATGTCTAAATAAAAGTAAATTTTCGTTATTTTAATTAATAAACTCAGTAATTCAAAATTAAAAAGTAAAATATTTCAAGTTTAAGAGCTAAATATTGAACATTGAAAAGTAGTACGAAGAGTACGCCAAACACAAACTTATTTAAGGGGTTTTATATAGGCAAATTTAATGACATTTTGAGAAAACTTTAAATATTAATTCAAAGTGTTTTAAAACTGGTACCTATCAATAATGATTGTTGTGTAATAACTAATAACGAAAAACTTATAGAAAATACAGAAAAACGCAATCGTGATATTATTTACACTTACAGTTTACAGTATCTATAGCCTTACCAAATGTTTACAATTTACAATACATATAGAGACAAACTTTATTTGTAGTAAATTTTTTTTTTTTGATACCAATTACCATTAGGTACTCACTAAATCTTATAAGCAAATAAAAAAATTATTCCTTACGAGTATATGACAATATAGATTGTTTTTAAGTTATCAAAAAAAATAAAAACTTAGTCATATTATATAATAATTTGTTATGTAAATGACATAGATAAAGTTGTTCTCTGTGTACTGCATACATTTAATAAAGTTATTGTGAACTCTGTCCGCGTAAGTATGTCCCGAGCAAACAATTTCCATGGATAAATTATAAATAAACTGGTGTGACGTTCCCAGTGCTACTACTCTGGCGAAAATTTTACAATATAATTTCGATATAAATATAAAAAAAAAATAATCGTCGTTCAATATATTTTTAGAAAATTCTCGTAAAGTTTATGGGAAATTTTGTTCCGATATATCATATTATTATGTGCACATAGCTTGGGTATAAAAAATGTGGAAGCTACTGAATGAAAAAAATAAAAATGTTTACCACACCGCCTGCTCACTTACACTGATTATCATAATAGAAAGATATTCGTAATCGTATTCTTAAAATATTACATAATCTAGTACCCACCCTTCAATGTCGGATACGAATGACGTGCCGAACGCTCCCTTGGTCTTCATTTGTTCGGACAGTCTTCCCTCGAAGAGTTTGTTCTGGTTGGCCAAGTCCACGATGGCCAACCGCACGATCTCGCCCATGTACATGCCACTGATCATTTTCTCGAATCTAAAACACGGGAAGCGCACATTTCAGACACCTGTACCAAGATATAAACGATATCGCGAAAATCGTCGTCATTCTTTTAGGGCTACACACCTCTGTCTTCCCGGGTTCAAAGAGTCCTCGTCGATTTCCCGATCGTATTTCGTGCGAACGGCGTCCAATTTTCCATCGTCTCCGAATGCACCCCATTCGGTGTTGACGATCACGTGTGGTTTCGTCTTGTCACCGTCGAAGAGTTCGGCGTTTTCAACCTTTTCCACGTAACACGCGTTGCAACCCGTTCCTGCACAAACAAACGGCTTTTACAGACCAACCGTACTCTCGAGAAAATTTGGGCTTTATATCTTGTCGTCCGTAGATATCCGTTACAAAACGCACAACAGATATTATATGGTCCAGCTGTGAACCTATATATCCGTCGTACGAAAACAACGCATATCGATAGCAGGCGAGTTAATAAAAGCAAAAGCGACAGTGATAATATTATTAATATTATATGATGATGGTCTGATCACATATTCACATATTTTATGTGTAATGCAGAATATCTATACAAGGTGTATAAATTGTTAGATTACACATATAGCGGCGGCAGCGTTAAGACAATAATAAAAATCTGGAAAAGTCCAAAACGCAAAACGATCTGTTTTTAAAGCAAAATTGTAAATAGAATGGACGATACGATACTATGATATCGCGAGATATTTTGTCGGTTGTTTGCAAAAATAATAAAAATATATAAAACTGTATATTATTATTATCGTCGAATTTGAAAATGTCTGTTAAGATATCGGTCTAAAACAAGTTGTAACACATTGTTGACAAATTGTATTCCAAAATGACGAATATTAACTATCTGTTATCGGATGAAGTTTAGTCTCGTCTAAATTGTATACGACCGCCAATTTAAAAAATTTACAATCACATAATAATTAGGTAATTTCAAATTTGATCCTTGACGGATTACAGCAACCCATTAAGTTATCATTTTAATGTCTAGGTTGAATATGAGGTAATTAGATTTCACAGCGATAGCCAACAAATCAATATACCTAGCACCTATATTATATCTTGATGTTCGATAAATCAAGTCTAACTTGTTACAACAATATAATATTATAAACTTCTACAACGTAAAGTAAATATTTTACAAAAGAGGAAAGGAATAGGAAATTCAAAAAATCTAAATATCTAAAATAAAACAGGAGCCATGCACTACTTAAAATAAAATTAGGTAGGTATAAAATATAGAAATATATACTATAGGTACATTGTTAATAACAGAAACTTAAATCTTTAATATTTAAATACTACTAGTTAATATTTATGCATCATATTATTAAGTAAATGAAAATAGATAATAATTCTAATGTTGTTAGAAGAAAATGAAAAATGAAAATATTATCATTGACAATTAACTATTTTCATAAGTAAAAAACAAAGTAAAATATTGTGTGTGTTTAATACTCAACTGTGTGACTTAACACTTAACAGTTCACACATATTCATTGAGCTAATAGTATTAACTCCTTTAAATGTCAATTTACTCAACATACCAACAATAACTCCAATTTTGGTGTTCGGGTTCTTCCAAGCGCATGACATGATTGTACCGGTTGTATCGTTCAATATTCCACACACATCAATCTCGACGTCCTAATAAAATTACCACCGAAACAAACCTTCTATTATGTTATATTCTTTTATAGACATGGACATATTTTTAGTATCCACAAGTATTCATAATATTACTAAACATTTGGTTTTTGGATAACATTATTTATTAAACAGTTTAAATTAAGTATTAGCATTTTATTTTTTTTTGAACTTTAGTTTAGAGTTGAAGAAGTTAAGACTTGGTTTATACAATACTGAATTCAATATGTATTCAAGGAAAAGTTGAGCCAATACAGATAAGACAATCAAGGAATTGTAATTTCAAGAAAACAGTAAAAAACTGTATACTGTAGCCATAGGCATAGACCAGACCTTGAATGTAGGTGGTGTTAAATAACTATGACATTCTATGTATATGAATGTGAAACTAGTTAAGGAGTATGTCAGTACGATTCTCAAATTCTGAAAAAGTATTATCATTACCTTATTGTCAGTACTAAAAACAATAAATAATGAAAAAAGGAAAATTATTAATATTTAAAAGAAATAGCGATATTATTGATATCACATTTACACATGTTTTATCTATTTTTGCAGGTCATCTCTGTGCATGATAGACACGTCCATGACTGTAGGTACATCAGAAAGCATTCTTTGAGGATTAACAATAATGCAACTTATTTATCAATTATCATACATGAACATATACAAAAATTATAAGGGACGATCATCAGCAATTTAAGCAAAATTATATGATAAATAGCAAATATGCTTAGAAAGTTCATAGTTATAAAATAACAGTAGATTTATATAACTCACGTTTCAATTGGACAATCACAAACAGTTTTTGTACAATTACAATACATATTTCATGCTGGGTTCGTAGGTATATGATATTTGTTTGGACAATTTGACATAACAGTACAATTTAAAATGTATACAAGTTATGTATATATGACCAGAAAGCATTCATCAGACTTAATTAAACGTCGAACCACGTAACCCAATGCAAACAGCTGGCATTATATATTTTGGAAATTTTGGCTTGGCCAAACTTACCAATGATCAAACCTACAAAACAGTTTTTTGAAAAACGTGTTTTGTGGGCACAACTCATTAGGGTTCCGGTTGCATCATTCAATACAGCCGTTAAACGTAGATTCAGGTCCTACATTAACATTCTAAGGTCTTAAATCTGTTGATACTTATTAACATGTATTATGAAAATACAAATCATTGAGGATATATTATTATGTATTAGTCGTTGTAGGTATTATAAAAAATAAATTAACTGGTTTTGGTAACTTGATAATTTACCTTTCTCCGCTTGATAGCTTCCTTGAGAAGTCTGACTACATCTTCGTCAACTACTCCTGAGCAGTTAAATCCTTTAGTCCAACTATTTAAATATCCTTTGGTAAGTCCAACTTGTCTAAGTGGAAAACTAAAAGTAAAGCCCAACGGTAATGCCTTTTTGCTGTCCAAGTTGTGTTTTTTAATAAATTCTGCCAGACATTTAGCAATATGATCGAATAACTACATAAAATAATGAAATACATAAGTATAGAAGTCATAATAGGTTAACAAAATTATATTCAATTACTTCTGTGCCTTTGCCAGTTTGAATATGAGCAGGTACTTTGAAGATTTCAGAGTCCATATGGAAGTAGTTATTCTCTCCCAATTCAATCAATAGCACACGGAAATTGGTGCCACCCAAGTCCAAAGCCAAGAATTTTCCTCTTTCTGAAAGAAAATTTTTTTTATAAAATATCTGCAACCATAATCATCAGAAGCCTTTTACCTGTGCCGTTAGGCAAATCTTGTACGTAAGTGACATAACACTTGACAATGGAAGATGGATTGGTATCTTTGCCCAAACCATTCCTGATGGCTCCATCCATATCTTTCATCAAGGTGGTCAGTTGTTCATTGGACAAAAGAAGGGATTTGCAATCTTCTTTGATCTAAGAAGTAAAAACACAATATTGTCAGTACATATTATTATTAAAATTAAACACAGTATAATGTATTAAAAAAAGTTAATGAATATAATATTAGATAGGACGTAAGTATTCATAACTATGGATATAATATTTAAAATGTATACAAGGAAAATTAGACAATTTATCCCGATAAGGCCATAAACATGATTATGTACCTTCATAATTATTACGAGTATAAATTATGACGTCAGACGTATAAATTGTCCTACTCTATTATAATAATATTAGGCACCTAATTCTCAGTATTTGTACAATAATTATTGCACACCGTGAGTTAAATCTGCATGTGGACTAATAACTAATGGTTTATTAATAAAAAAAAAAATTCTAATTATTAGTGTAAACACGAAAACGATATAGGCAGGTCGCAGGTGCAATAAAAATAACTCTTATTAGCATTAACATTTCACATTTCGTAATTTAGACGGAGAAAAAATATATTATTGATATTATAAGCTTATACTACCTACACTGAATACACATCGGATAATTTACAATCGAGGTAAAATTTGTATACCTTTTATAATATAGGTAAACCGTAAACCTATTACATTATTAGCTATTACAATAAATCTGGAGTAAAATAATTCCGTATACCTATTGGTTATTATCTATATAGACGAGAATTAAAACATCCATAAGTCGTATTGTCGTAAGCAATCGTCAATAAAACATAACGAATAACAAAAGCATTTCACAGTAAAAAACGTCGTAAAAGTCACCTACAAAATATTATTATTATTATATTGGCGCGAAACTCGTAAAACCTGCTGTTGTGTTTTTCATAAAATGTTATACTACCTATTGTAAAATTGGGTAAAATTATTATTTAATGAGCGTCTTTCTACACCGTAACATTAATTAACTATGAGCAGGCCCGTAGCTAAGGCATAAGCAAGACGTCATTATGTGTTGCTTTTGGGCGGCATACAATTTTAAAGAAATTGAAGGCGACAAAATTAAATACATATCGGTAATGAATAACGAAATTAAAGTTTTCGATTAAGGGCGGGAAATATCTAACGACGAGCCCGACTATAAGCCTATACTTCAAGGGGGGGGGCGGGTATTTCGGAGTAATAATACCTAGGTATTGTAAATTGCAATCATACGGTAATATTATAATCGATATTCTCTATTGGGGAAGACGAAATTGACAGTTCAAAAGAGTTTGAAGGGCCGGTACGATCAGAGCGAAAGAGTCGTACCTACCTAGTTTCGAAGAGAAAAGAAATCGAAAGCTCAGGACCTTGAATTTTGTTTCGAAAATGTGAAAATCCCCCGCAAATAGTACATAGGTACTATATATGACTATATACATTATATTATTATTATAATTTACGTGTACGGAGCAAAAATGATTTAAGAATTTTGCCGTTCCTCATCCCCCGGGCCTTGGTCACAAGTTTCACCCCCGAAGGTGGTGGTAATTCATGAGGGCGCCGCCGAAAAACGGGCGGCGCGCCGTCGCATGAAACTCTCCGCTACCCCCTCCCCGCAAGGTCATCCCGCCAGAGCCGTAGGGGGCGTAGGCAAAGGGCCGAAGGGGCGATCACGAGTGGCGGTGATACGCGCGGCGGAGCGGTTGTGTAGATTTCGGCGGTTCCCCCCACTACCCAACTACCCACCAAAACTTAATCGCCATGACGGGCGAAAGGAGGACTTACGGTAACACGGGCTGCGGACGAAGACGAAGTGGCTCCAGTGAACAGGCCGTAGAGGGCGCGCAGGATAGGGTGGATTACGATGCACATGGCGGCGACGAAGGTAAATCGACAAAATATTAAAATAAAAATTAAGTACCTAAATTGTAATTAACGCTATTTTAAAATTAATATTTTTATTATTATTATAAAAGAAATAAAAACGGCGGCGAAAATAAATCACACGCGCGCGTCAGACTCGACACGACGGAGTAGGAGGAAGATGAAGCAAGAAAAAAAACACACGACGGCTTGGACGACACGCGAAAAAAATTAACCTCGACGGCGAGACTGACGCGAAACTGCTGGCGAGAGGGTTAGACTGCCGACTGTCGGGCCGCCGACAGAGACCGAATGTGGTTTTCACATTTTCAACGCGCTGGCGCACTCGTCACACGAGTACACGACGACGACGACGAGCGTGTGAGTGCACACCCCTCCGCCGCCGCCACCGTTCCGACCATACGTACGCGCATGCGCCACACACAAACACATATACACACACGCGACCATTCATCCGCGCGCCAAACAGGTCACCGGCGGCGCTCGCGACCGCTATCGACCGAAAGTTGCCCTCGCCACGCTGATTATTATTATTATTACGTCACTCCCGTAATAAGAAATCGGTCACATTTTTCCCCCCACCCCGTCACCACTAATACTACTACTACCGATAATTTTTTTGCCAATTTTTTGTAAATAATACCATGTACCACAAAAAAAGAGTACCACCACGCGACGCCGATCGTACGTCGTTTCGCCCGAATTTTGAAGGTTACGCGAGCCTATGTCGCGCATCGCCACGGATTTCATCGAACGTTATCGATCATCATTCGTGGGACAGATGGTTCTAAAATAAGATCACGCGACCGGTTCGTTTAGTCTAGACCACGGTTATCAGCGTGTAGATATAATATTATTATGGTACACGACCGATTGTTCGTACATAATATAATTATTATTAAGGTACGATAATATAAATATATTATTATATTATTGATAAACGATAACGATATTTTTGTAGTAGCCTCCACGGGCGTATTGCCGGAATACTGGGATGTGGAGGGAGCGCTCGAGCCTCCCGAGGGGGATTTTTGGGGGGTACCAAATCACCACTCGCAACCCCGGGCACGAGGCGCTAAACATGCACCTGTGCAAATAAGCGTAAGCGTCGTTTTCGTTGTCGGTTTGATACTATATGGTTCGAAGGGAGTTTAATATTATATATTTATATACTATACATAGTTCAGTCATTCAGTGGGGTTTACGAGTAGCCAGTAGAATTATGTCATTATTATAAGCCGATGTCGAGTATATACTATTTTATTCGTACGAGCTAATCGATTGAATAGGTACTAGGTAGTTACTGTTAGGTACAACACCGAACACGAGTTATTTATGTTGCTACGACGTTTACGTATAGAATGATATGAAATACTCGTTAAGGGGGGTTCACACTACACCGTGTCGTGTAAAATAATCACGGTTACCACAGTTACCAAACGATACCGCATAGTTGAATATATTCAACTTTTGACCGTGTGGTTACATTTATGTGCAGATAAAGCCGGGTTCATACTTAATGTAACCACACGGTCAAAAGTTGAATATATTCAACTATGCGGTATCGTTTGGTAACTGAGGTAACCGTGATTATATTACACGACACGGTGTAGTGTGAACCCGCCTTTAGTCGTTACGTTTTTAAAGTGACGACTACACACGACACACGTGCGAGTATGCAAGTAGTTTTGACTACACGTCCAATTCGGAAATCGTTGGGCAATGTCGACCGCGGCTGAATGCGACCACCTGGTGGAATGGTTTTAAGTGATTTGACGTGTCTATTTTAAATTCAATGTTCAAAAATCAAAATTATAGATAAACTATTATCGTACGACATTTGACAAAATGACAAAAAACGATTTCCAAATAAATTTAACCCAAAAATACATTATAAATTTCTAACTATAATAACTTACTGTTTTCAAGTTTTATCAAGCTAAATACCGTATTGTATATTTTATCCTAATATAATAATATAATACAGTGTATAATAATTAATAACTACCTACCTATACTTAACTTTTTTTTTATAGCTAAAACGCACATTGCTAAGAAATATTTAAATACGTAAAATGAAATGTATATGATAATCGTTGAGTACGTCAATACACTTGTATTACTAATATAGTTGCGATAAAAATATGAAGAATATTTACTTTTATATTTTAGTCTAGTTTGAGTCATTTCAATAATCTAGGAAAAATTTCTTTGAGTTGATACATAAAAGTAAAATAATAGATCTATAAAATATATAAATTGTGGAAACAAACAAATACAAATTTAAACTTAATTTGTGAAAATCACTAAGTTTTTATTTGTTTTTGTCATGTTGTCAATGAGTAATGTAGGTACACATTAAAAAACAATGTGTGATGAATTCACAAAAACATTTAAATTTTAAAACTTTTTAAACTCTTATCCTCACACCTCAAAGTTAAACCATAGAAAAAAAAATAGAAAGTAAATTATTTAATATGCCCACGTATTATCGTAATTATTAATTTATGGGATGTGACCTAATAATAATATACATATAGGTACTATACGGTTTAAACGTCAGTTGTTAATATATATGTGTCAGGTATTATCAATAAATCGACAATTCCAAGTTATCGTTATGGTTTTCTAAATTTATTATTTATGGTTGAGTTTAATGGTTACATTGGAATATATAATTTATAATCTTTTTAATTTTATAGGTACCTATACCTTTTTTCCGTATAAATACCTATCTATAACCTATACAAGTAAAACATTTCACAAAATATATGTAAAAAAAGCAGAGGTCATAGATAGAAATACCTACTCAGAATGTCATTGTATCGGTTATATAACCAAATAATTCGTGTGCAAATTTTCATATCGTGTCACAAATAATATAATAATAATTATTAAAAAATTATGCACTTAGGTACTGTATTAAACGTTTGAAGTTTTTAATTATTTTGATAATAGTACAGACTATAGAGGTAATCAAATATCTAGGTAGGTAATATTTACAATTGTATAAAACTAAATTATATGATGTTCAAGTATACTGTATACCGGTTATAAGTTTTTAAAATAAGTATTAATTCAACGAATAGAAACGATTCGCAATTTCGAAAAAATTTGTAATTTAAGCGTATTATCTTTCAAAAATATTCAAGAAGTAGTGTAGTACCTATACTATTTACTCTGTACAAGATATCGACGCAGCGTTAACCAAATTAAATTACTATTAATCCAAGACATGGTAGATTTCATCAGTAAGTTGTACGCTGGAAATTTGTAGTTTGTATTTTTGTACACGGATCATCATCGCCGCCGGTGAAACATTTTTCGATTACCTCGGACATACTTTTGAGTACCTCCTATACAGGCCTCGAACAACTCATAGTTAACCTTGGAACACATTTCTTACTATGTACCTGTCTATATATCATGATTATGTTTAGCGATTCACCTATGCACGCTGCACTTTCTTACAGAGTTCACAGAGATAATGCGTTCGGTTTGTTATACAAATATTGAGATTACACGTTGCTCTTCGTGCGCATATTTTATACCCATTGTATCAATATTTGTATGGGAAAAATAATAAACGTGATTTTCTCCGGTTCGAGACGCACCATCGTCCCGCAGACATTCCTCGTCTCACTCGTCGGAACGAATTATTTTCGACGCACTATATTATGTTATTATTATGACCGTCGTCATCAACGGCGGCGGCGGCGTTCTTCCGCTGCCAAACTGCGTCGTACGGCGCCTACCCTGCAGTGCATTGTCGAATAAATGTCGAATTGCGCACATTCGAAACGATATAAACGCTAATGGGACTCGTAGGTATCGTATGGTATGGATTATTTTTCGATCGTCTTCAACGACGACGGCGGCGGCGATGATAATAATAATAACAGTACAGCCGAACAAAATAACGAACGAGGAGTGAACTGCAGTGGCAGCTGCTGCAGCAGGATGCGCGTCTATCGTTCCCTCGGCGAGAAAGCATTCGCCCAGGAAGTAGGAATATGTATTTGTCCTGGACGTGCCACGACGTCGATCGAGGGAGATTTATCATATATATGCTCAGTGTGACCGTGTCCGGAATAATAAACCCCGTCTAGTCCTAGTGGCGTACCGTATATAGTGTGAACGCACCACTGCCACCGGTTAAAAAAGCGGGGTTTAACAAAGGGCGGTTTGTCCGAAAAATCGACGACGTGAGAACCACGATATTCCATGCCTTAAGCATCTTTAATCTCCTCTTCGTAAATCTCAAATGTCCGTATGAGAATACGATTATACGAATCTTGTTATATTATGTATAATATGCGTGGTATTTACCGAGAGTCGAACTAGGGGCATCGCTTGTGCGCGCAGGAATGTGGCCGATGGATCTTTCCATTATTATACGTCCGATCTGCGCTCGTTTTTTTCGCCACTCTACCGATTGTGCAGAGTGTACGCATAGGTATAGGTATAGGTACTATAATATAATACGATATTCATATCATTGATTGCTGGAAAAAATTCGACTCCCGAGGGCAACGAGATTGTCCTTGGCGGTGGTTCACACATTCGCCGACCGGTTGCGATATATATATATATATATATAAATATTATTGTAATAATGCACTCCTGCGCCTATACACTCGAGAGGTGTAAAAGTAAAACATGTTAATATTTGCGTCGTAGAACTTGTGTAAAATATTATAATGTATGCCACACGTCGAATTTGCAGTAGGTATATATAATATCGTAACTGAAAAGGAAAACATCCATTGGTCCATTATATTTTGCATGGCTGCAGGTAGGTATATTATGGTACAAGACAATTGCGCAGTTATTTTTTTCTGCTGTCGCGATCGCTGCAGACGAAGGTGGAAATAAAATAATTCAAATTTTTTAAGAGCATTTCAAGGTCTCACCCGTCAGCCCTATATTACATTATTTAAACCAGGGGAAAAAATCCAATTCGTCTTTAGGAACCACTTATTGTCTTATTCTCAGAAAACGTCAATTATTATGTGTATAATATATTTATTTATTGCTGTCGTAAAGTCCGTGTCAATTGGTTACCAATTATGCAAACATTATTATTAATCGAAGTATAGTTTATTATTGGTTTTCTATACCACACTACTGTGTGTTTATGTTACTTTTTATTTATTAATTTTTTTTTTTGACATTTATGATCGAGGGTACGCTCTATACAATCGATACAAACGCGTGTGTATTGTACAGGATCGAATTGACAGTTCGTGAGAAAGAAAAATACGATTAATTTCGAATCGTCATCGTTATTTATTGAATATAATATTATGCATATTATATCAAATCGAATATAACGAATATCATTGCTGCAGGTCTATCATAAATTGCTTTTTATACTGCAGATGTTTTGGTATTATTATTATTTTAATTAATTTAATAATAATTGTACGTGTTTTAAACAAAATTCCATCGTACTATAGTTTTAATATATTTTGTTAGTTTAATTCATTTATAAAATAATCAAAAATAAAAAATATTTATTGAAATATAGTTATACAGGTATAATATTTGTATAACATAAGAAATATCTACAACTTTCACATTTCAAAAGACTGGTTGTGAATTTTAAAATAAATAATTAGTTTTTTGTAATTTCTTATATTCGTAAGTACGAATATTTATAATATTATAATATTCTATAGAAGGTCAATACGAGAATTAGAAAATGCTGAAGTTATTGTAAGTTTACATTACTTCCACCCCTTAAAAAATAAGTACACCGTATATAGTAGAACACCCTGTATTCCATACATTACATGCATACTTTACGCAACATGTTACACAACTCTTTTTCTTTAAATTTTGAAAAAAATCTCATCAGAAATATATCATTAGAAATTTTATAAAACACAAGTTTGAGCCCCACAATGTTCATTATAATAATATTCGTTAAGTTGCGAGCACAATATTTAGTTACAGTGAGCCCTTACCTAACTAATAACTCCGAGTCTCCGAATATCAGACGTTTTTCTGGGAACAAATAACAAACTTTTTACACACTGGACCCTGAATAGCGGATAAAAATTCAGTGACCGAGAATTTCGAAATTCAACTGCTGTGGAGCTCAGATTCGTTAAAAAGTAGGTAGGTATAATATTATATTCTAATATAATGGAATAAATGGAACTGCATGATATAGACAATTTAGTCGCTACTGCCAGTGAACGTTTTCAAATAAATCTAACTTTTGAAATTTTTCTTATAGTGATACCTAATAAATAATAATCATGTCAACTCTCAACATTAGGTGTGCACGCGTTCGATGTTATTCAACGGTTTCGGAGACACATACCTGTGCACATATAATATAATAATACATGTATTATTATATTATCTACTGAAAAATAAAATCGTCCATAAAATAAATGCTTGTAAATTAGATTCTGGTTTAAAGTGAAACGGATAAAAAAATATGATGTGTACACACACACAAATTACACGCACGCACATACACACGAGTATATTGTATTGAAGTTTCTCAAAATCGGAAGGGGCACAGAGGTCAGATGGAGTAGTTATACTATACTGTCTATACTATTCGGCAATTGATGTGTACAAATTAATGTATTATCATAGGGCAATATGTATAATGTACGTTATTTGGACGCGAGTGCGAATATGTAGCGCCAATGCGACAACGATGAAAACTGGCCCAGCCGCGTGACGCACTAAAGGTCGTTGCAAAGTCACGTGGCCCGCCGCGAGAAACCGGCGCTCGGCCAGCGCCGACGATGGATTCACGCTGCAGTCTCTAATTGGTATTTGGTATATAGTACTATAGATAAGACAATTTTTTTGACCTCTCACTCGCCATTACACTTGTGTCCGTCCGGACGGCGATAAAAAAAAAAAAAATGTAATAATAATAATATAATTAATATAGTAATAGTAATAATAATAATAACAATTCGCCAATTATGCAACCTTGGAGGAAAAATAATAAAAACTATACCACGAATTCACGGAAGTACCTTGACCGGTGCCGCCTGCAAGCCGATGCAGATCGTGCCGATGCGGCGGTCCACATTGAGTGGGATTAAATCATATTAAGTTCCGGCGCTAAGTCCGCCCAGTCATTTATAATTATATATTATAGGTAACTACCAGGCGTGGATCTAGATATGAAAAAAAGGGAGACTAGATGAAAAAAATACGATTATTAATCAATAATCATTCCCAATCAATGTCAATAAGTAATGTAACATAATATGTTTTAAGTATTGCTCCTCTAATCTCTTTAATTTAGTTAATAATCTGTAAATTAAGGTAATCTTTGAAACATTTTAAGACCCTCATAGCCCTACTGTATTCACGCCTGGTATTTACCTAGGTACATTATGGAGGTATTATAGCACACCGAAGACCGAAACGCAATGGAAACAGCGTTTAGCCGCGATGCAAAGAGAGGTAGACAGAATATGATGAGTGATAAGTGTTAACACTAATCTAATGACAATTATTTCACCTCTCAACGAAATTGAAATTGTTTGTACGATTTTTTAATACGGATTGTATTAACCGATTGAGTATAAAATATGACTATTAAATTGTTATTATAATAGTTTAATAGATTATGTGTTATTACTTATTAGCAAGATTACTTTTATGAAATAATACTATATTTAATTAACGTTGGGAATAAGATTACGTTAAATTCTCAATAATATTAATATACTTACTTATTTGTATACATATTTTATTACTATGTCACTTATTAAAATAATATTTCAAATTTGCAGTTTTCATTTCTACATAATATGCGTTCGTTTGCTTCGCGTATAGCGCTACTTGGTGCTTACAATAAATTATGCACCGATTAGGTTAGGTTAAGGTAGGCTCCCCCTCAAATCGGAGAATAAAGTTTTCGATTAGTCATCGATTTTTAGTCATTCGTTAATTGATAAAATGTTACAGTTACACGTATTAGAGATATGGTAAATTATGGATGTTGTGAAAATCACGAAACCCGACTAATATATAGGTACAAATCAGAAGTATATAGCAATCACTAATGTCGGATTATTTCTACCAATCGATGACGAAACTTAAAGTTCATAGAGATGGGCAGTACGTTACTTCGATTTGGGATGTATCTATGTATATATGAATACGATCAGCGCACTCAAGTTCGCAAAATTTGCAAATGCTGTGAGTGCAGAAAAGCTGGCGGACTTTGAAATTTCGTGGGTTATTCTAGTATTCTATACTATTCTATAACAATAGTACACCTATTAACAGCGTGTATAAATAAATAGTTACCCATAATATTATTACAATATTATATAATCTCATATTAATTTAATCTATCTCTAATCCCATATTTAAATGATATACCAAATAACAAAAAAATTCATATTTTATATATTTTAATTGTTTTAAGATATTTCATAGTAATTTAATGTTTTAAAAACTTGATAAAATCATAAAACATACAATAATATAGTTGATTCATAATATTATATTAATTGCAATTTTAATAATCTAAATACCGTATTTGTCATATTGTATGTAAATATACATTAATACAATATATTATAGTATAACAAAAAAAAAAAAAAAACCGCTAAAAAGGGAATTAATTATTGTTAGTCTCATACTCTCATATTATATTAAAAGTTTACATTAATATCCGTAACATATTAATATAATACGTGTATATTTGTAAGTTTTATTGAATTTATTAAAACAAGTGGCGTACATCTATTTCGGTAGAACACTGAGAACGGTAATCGATGCAAGCGACGGCGGAGGTATATATGAATACGTACGTATATGAAAACTACGCTGTCGCTGTCTGTCTACATTATAATTTTCAATACTAATATGATAATGACGTGTATGAGACAAAAGCGCGACAGTTGAATTTACACCGACTGCCTGCAGTATCTATACATACATATTATTATAATATTATGAATTTATAGTATAAAGCCGTCGAGAGTCGTGCACGTTACCCGCGCACGCTCAAACGATACGCCGCGATCGCGTTAAAATTGGTATGCAAATCAAATTCGAGTTATCGTATATAGGTATGCAGTACACGACGCTTAAAATATTACACCAAACAAATTACCTGCCCGGCGGAGTGTGTGTTTAACTGGCAAACTACATGGTCCTGGTCGACGGAGTGAATAATAATTAATATTATAATATTTACCGTCAACGAAAATAATATGTACGCAGTGTCTATACGAAAATCGAGTGCACTTACCCATTTATAATATTGCCGTGTTACAGTGCCGCTGTTGCCGTTAATTATTATTGCACCGAAGTGCACTAAACTTATACCTATTGCATCTATAAATTGCGGGACTTGCATTCTTGTACGGTTTCTTCGCAAACGGTCGCGTGTTGAAAGTATATACGCGCTAGTGTAATATTATATAATATTAATTATTATTGTGGTACCAATTCGCGAGCGTATATTCCACGATCGGGACGTAATTAGGTGCATGATATATTATGCGCAGGTATTACGATTTAAAATAACATTTATTATGTTATTGATGACGATATAATAAAGAGATATAATGTTATATAGAGGTCTACGACGCAGACAATTATTTCATTAATATTATTTGGGGGCATATTATAATATTGTAATACGCGAAAAATCGACTTAACTGGTAAAAATAATCGAATGTAGCTATATAATATTGCATTATATAAGCTACAGGTATATACCGCCGTCACAGCGAAAATGACCGAAGATATCGGACGCCCCTTCGCGGGAACGTGTTTGGGGGGATAGTGAAAAAACACCTAAACAATATAACAATTATTTACCTCGTTGGTGACGATTTCGGTGTCGAATTCGAAACCTTCGGAAATATTGAGTTCGCTGAACGCGGGACGCAGTTGGCCCATCATTTCCGGCTTGGTCCTCATGTTTCGGCTGCAGTTGTATCGAGTTGTGTAGGTATTATGAAGTGGTCGACGCGTTTGCGTTACGCGAATTGGTTTACAATCGAAAATTTGCAGTGTTTTCGCGGGGTCGATTAAACTCCGGATCTTTTGATTTGCGGATAATTAAATTATATTATTTCTCGTTCACCTCTGTCGTAGGTGCAGGTGGCAGCGGGACTGATGTACGTATATTATATCACAAGCACAACCTGACAAGGAGAACGAAACGGCCGGGACGCCTCCTTATATAACGCAGAAACGGGTCTCTCCTTCTCCTACACGTCCCAAGCTTATATTATCGTCGTCACCGTAATAATAATTTATGCTTGATATTAATATTATGTGCATGTGCGGTGACGGCGGCGGCGGGCGGGGATTATACTATATAACAATATTATACTAAACGGTCGGGTGGTGGTGCGATGATGTGAAGTGGCAATCACACAGGTTGGTAGGTGGGGATGAACGATTTTACTACGTATTTAGTAGTTGTATACACATAGCACGCGCTGGTTAAACAATAAACAATTTACCGTAGTAAATAGGAGATATAGTACAACCAGTGTGTTGATTGTAGTGGTATTCTTTTTTTATTTCCTCTTGGACGTGGAACGGTAGATAAAAATCGACCAATGGCTGTCGATTCAATAACCTAACAGAAGGCGAGAGCGGGCGCGAGTTCTCTGTTATCTCGGCTCGAGCTGATTACGCGGTCGCTGCCGCCTCAGGTTATCAGTCGAGGTTTTCGACTGATATACTTTCGGCTCAACAGTTGTCGACGTTTCATGCTGGGCCGTGTTAGGTCGTTTTGGAAGTATACCGAGAATTTCGGACATTTGTAATTTTGTGAGTTTTCAATTACGGGTAGGTACTATAATGTTCCATATTATACTTCTGCAAACGATGCATTCACGCTTTGCAACACATTTTTTACGATGAAAAATTCGTAGAAATTTAATAAGTGTTATGAACGGTCTTCATGAAAATGCAGCTATGGAAAATTACCAAATATTTTATAAAAAGGTCCCGGAAAAATGTCTACAGGTTGGAGTCTTTGTGTAGAATTTCCAATCTACTAAGTGTTATCATATATGATAAAAACTTGTTTGAGCAATGCAATTTTCCTAAATATATTTTATTTAAAAGAAAAATAAGCCACACTACTGCGTTTAGTAAAATCAATACACATAGTTTCCATGTCCATCCAGTTTATATAGAATCTAATAAAATTCCACCCTTGCTGCATGCAGTGTATATAATATATAATATATATACATTCCAAACACTTAAATTTTTACGATACAACGCATAAAATCCGCCACCACCGACTTTCCGTGATGGTTTTTATTCCTTTTTTATTGTTGCTTCTATATCGGGTTTCGTTGTGCTTTCCTGACCCTTATATTCCATTATTTCGTGTGTTGATATTATTATGTTTTGATCGTTCTCTTTTCTTTTTCGATATGTATGGACTGCAGCTCCTCTCCGAACCATTTAAAGTTCGATGCCGATTCGATATTCGATGGATAGTAATATTAGTTGTAACATGCACAAACGGCCAAACAGGTATCGGGTAGGTGGTAGTCACGGTAGGTGGAAGTCAAATAATTAGTGGGAATGAACACGATTAATATTCACGTTTAAAATATAAGGTTTACTATTATTTTCGTAAATGTATAAGCTCACGTCGGTGGCGTATAGGTATAGGAATTATTTTCACTATGGGCCAATTTACCACTGGCCAAGCATACCACTAATATAGCATTAACTAGAAATTTTTTTGGGAGCCGAGTGGTTATAAAATATATAATAAAATTAACAATAGAAATAGAGAATGTGCAGTTTTATTTTATAAATATTCATTATTATATTATAAATATTATGTTAAATTCATTTTTATACATATATATTAAAAAAAAAAAACACTAACAATTTCTTCTACAATAAAATATGTTATATTACGATGAATCATTAAAAATTAAATCCTGCTCCTGAAAATCTAAAATTTCCTTGATGATTCCTCAAAAACGTTTTTATTCAACCCAGTTTTAAAAGATTCCTGTAAACAGAGTAAATACAACTGTTAATGGAAATAAATTTCTTTAAAATAGAACTCACAATCGCCGTAATGTATGTAAACATAACTCTTAAACATCGATGATTATACTTATCAGTAAATATGGAATTTAAATTCAATTTTCATAATTTATAAAGCCGTATGCCCGTATATATAAGTACGTACGGGCCCCTGGGTATCGTTTGTTAATATAATTTATACATAAACTATAAAGACATAAAGCGATATGCGTACAATTTTTAAATTGAACTTGTAACTTCACAATGGGCCTCCTCCCTATATACGCCACTGGCTCACGTGTAACTTCATGATTATTTATTGATATTTGATATTACTATAATTTTTGCTTATATCTCGTGTCAAATGTGTGATAATCATTATCATTTTCATGTTAATCTTTTTTCCTGAAAAATAGATTTATTTTATAAACGTACACATTTTATATATTTCATAAACAATTTAAAATTTGGAAATCCACCTAAACTATTTATCTTTATTCAACGAATAAAGATTTATAGTTTATACCACACAATTCATTTTTCCAATGAACTATTTGTCATGTTAAAAAATAAATTACTAAGTTAAGTTACACTGTGATATAAAAAGTAAAATATGTTAAGTTTTAACTCTTAGTCTTGGAAAAAGGCAAAAGATATTAATTCTCTCCTACATTATTTTTAGTTTTTAACTCACCGACGGCCAAATTGACACATTAATCATATTCTTATATTAATTGAAACAAGTAATATAAATATTTTAATTTTAATCACAACTGTAATTTTACAAAAAAAAAAATAAATAGTTTGAAATGATGAATACATTTCACTGAAATAATTTCAGGGCTTCAGTCATATACTCATATGTTCGTAATGAACTTGAAAAAGCTATACAATTGTGTCGATAAAATTAGAATGCAATTAGAATCCAAAACAATAGTATTTTAAAATACACTTATTCGCAAGAAAATATTTAGTAGGTAGGTATTTGAATAGAAAAAAATATAGTTTTTTTTCATAGAAGTTTTATAATTCTGGCGCTTTTATAAGATTATAATATAGGTACTAGTCAGAACACCGTTCATATATACAAAAGTATTATAATTGCAAATATATTGTTACCTATACAATATCAATGTATATTCAATTTTAATTTTATCGATTCAATTTTAAATCGTAGACAAGTATTTATTTTTGTCGTTCAACAATAATAACGTGTTTGCTTTATATGTGTGTGGTTCGTATTATAATTTTGCCTGTTAAAATTTAGAAAATAAAACATTTGTTGATCTCGAATCAATTAAAAAAAAAAAAAATATTGTATTGAATACTAAAGTAGTGTTGAAAATAATATATTATAATCTATTCACTATACATATCATTATATTTTAAATCTATACAAAGATCCATAGATGTAACGACTTAATTCACAATCACGAGTCACCGCGAAACGAGTGTACCTTGACATTGAGATATACACATAATAATGCTGTGAAAATTAGGTAGGTACTTATTTCCTATTTTAAAGTTTGACTACTAAGAGTGAGTTACCAACGATGATGTCATATTTTGCACTTTCGCAAACATCATAATTTACATAGTTACTTACATGATATATTTACCTAGGTAGTTGATTTATATAACCCGACATTTTTAATTGCCATATTAGTAATGAATATAATGTACAAAAAAAAGAAATAAAACATTATTTTTGGTTTTTAAGCGTTCATAACCAATCTACAATCGGCTATCTGCAATAGTAGTCCGTTAAATTAGACACTCCGTTTTTAAAATCGAGAAAGTTATGAAATTAAGTTTTATGTATTTTATGTGGTAGCAAAACCACCGTCTTTACTTTTATAGATATCAATATTGAACTATACATTGTATATTTGTTCTGCAATGGAGTTGTATTGATTCGTGATAGTGTTATTATATTTTATTTTATCAATAGACATAAATACACTATAATATAACATAATACAATTAGTAATTACGGTATTAGTGTACATTAGTTTGAATAAATAATACATTGCACCTTCCTCACTTACTTGAGTAGTTGAGTGTGTTTTATACTATTGAGACATTTCACTCAAGGCTATACAGTTATTGTTGTAATTTCACACGTCATTATTCTCAAATATATAGAATTGTATATTAATATGAGGATACTATTTGATCACTGGGTCAATAAAAATAACTTTCTATACAAAATAGGATAATAAATATATCTATAGTATATAAATTGTTTTGCTAAAATAAATAAGGTATAGGTAATAATAAGTAATAACTATACAGTATATAATATAGATGTGCCGTTTTAAAATTAAAACAAAATTGATAAAAATTTGTTCTACCACTTCTACCAGTATAATTAGAGATTAACATTATAATATAATATACGAAATCACATTTTGATGATTCACTTAGTTGTTTCATTTAGCCGAGAATTTATACAGTTCTCTGTGCTATACGGGTTAAGTCGAAGATCATATTACAATTTTAAAACAAAAAAAAAAAAAAAAAATGGATCAAACTTAGGATGGATATGTGAATATTTCTGTGATATGCGGTTGGTGATGTATGATAATGTATTAGTCGTGGAAAAACAATTAACGTATTTATTAGTGTTTATTCTATAGGTAGATATCCTTCAGAAATATAATTTAATATTTCTTCTTCTTCTTTCTTAGCTTAACATTCCCTGTAGGACCTGAGCTTCCACGAGCAATTCTCTCCATATTTCCCTGTCCAATGCCACTTCAACTGTTACATTTCTTCCCAACATCTTGATATCTTTCTCTATCGCATCTTTCCACCTCGTTCTATCGGTCTTTTTTATGTATGGTCTCTGTTAGTACTTTTCTTACGATGTCATTATCAGCTCTCCATACATGTCGAAACTATTC